GGCCCGAGCGAGCCCCAGGCTCCAGGCCCCGATAAGCGGCCGCCAAGGAGTGAGTCGGCCGCCAAGGAGTGAGAATCAAATCAAATCTAATTGATCATTGACCTGTGGCCTAGAGTATCCTGGTCCCACGTGCACTTATGGACACCCTTATGGTCGAACATGGTGTTTGTTATGGACAAACTGTGGTCTGCACAGAAGTCCACTAGGAGAACACCGCTTGTGTTCAGAACTGGCAGGTCATTTCCCCCAGTCACACACCTCCATGTCTCACTGTTGTTGCCTGCATGAATGTTGAAGTATCACACTAGGACGACAGAGTCCCCAGGTGGAGCACCCTCAAAGACCCCACATAGGGACTCCAAGAAGGCTGGGTACTCTGAACTGTACGTGCAGACCATAATCGGGACCTGTTTCCCGAGCAAAGGTGTAGGGAACCAGACCCTCTCATCCATTAGGAAAAACTCCAATGTACAGGCAGCACGCAGAGAACATACTAACCCACCCCAGTCTGCCACCTCTCATTAAAGGCAACTCCAGATTGAGACAGTCCAGCCCCTCTCCAGGTGACTGGCTCTGGAGCCCAAGGCATGTGTTGAGGTGAGCCCGACTATATCTGGCCGGTAGCTCTCAGCCTCATGCACTTATTCAGCATCCTTACCCCACCAGAGACGTGACTTTTCATGTCCCACTGGCTAGTCTTGGTAGCTGGGGATCGGTTTGCCAATGTCTCCACGCCTTGCAGCCGCCCAGCACACACTGCATCTGACTCCTTCAGTGATGTAGATGGTTGGCCCTACAGAAGGGTGAGCACATGTTCTTTTTGTGAGCTTTGTATGGCCAGACCCCATGGATTCAACTTTCGCCTTTATGCATATTCCCTGTGCCTTGCAGCAGGGTGGGGCCCCTTTGACCCTATCCCAGGCAGGGTCAGCTGTTGCCTAGGTCTTTCACTCATAGGGGTTTTGCATCTGGGTCCTTTTCTCCCCATCACTAATTGTTTCCATCCGCCCGCTCAATCACATGGCTAGCTGTGTTTCAGTTTTATTCGACAACTTGTTGCCGGTGCCAATTTTAAATTGAGGGTTCTTGGGAGGAGCAGTGCTGACACCAGCTTCTTCTACTTTTCTTTTCAACAGGTGCAGATTATCAGTGTTTTCTCTCTCTCTTTCTCTCTCTATCCATCTTTTTCTCCTCTATTTTTCTCTCCCTCTCTTTCTATTAATTTTCTCCCCGGTGTTTCTTTCTTGTTTTTCTTTTCCATCCCCCTGTCTTGTCCATTATGGTTGTAATAACTCAAAATAAAAGAATCCTAGTAAAGTTCTAATAAAATATGACTACCAAGTGGACCATTATAGCAAATGTTGAAATGCTTCAGTAGTGAAAATAAATCTGCTTGACATTTTTTAGGCTTCAGACAACAATTGTGATTGCTACACTGTCAGAGAGGATGGGGGGGGTGGGGGTGGGGGTGGGGGGGAGAGAAGTTTCACCCTTGGCCGATAAGGACCTGTGTGTGTGTGAAACTGGTTGCAGAAATTCGAAATGAAAAGAAATGTGTCGCCAGCCCATCATTATACATGATTCTGAATGAGAGAAATTGTATAAAGTATTTTGTAATTGTTAAACACAAACTCATAATTTATACATGGTTTTACTGATATTTAACCACACTTAATTAAAATACATTAAAATAAAAATATAATTAGGTCTAAATTTAACCAGTATAATGAAAAAGAAAATATCATCTACGAAATGATTCTAATAACAGGCATCTCACTGACATTTCATATGGAGCGGCTTGTTTAAGCTACAAGATGGCCTCAGAGGCTGTGTGTTGATGTGAGAGAGAAGGATGGGAGGGGGAGTGAGTGAGTCAGACACTAAGGAGCAGTAATCTAAAAAAAATGTCTGATTTTAACATGTATGATTTAAAAATAAGTTATATTTAATATATTGTGACCGACAAAAATAAGATTATATATAAGGTATAAATAGAAATATTGTTTAATATATTATTTCCCCCTGCTGGTACTGGAACTTCTGCATGTGTGCCCATTTCACACTTTGGAGAGGGAAAATGTGACACATTAGGATATGTGTAGTGGAACGCCATGTCTATTACACACTTTACCATGATATCAGGTTTAACTCCACATGCTAAAGCTCATATAAGATCGTGTAAAGAAGACATATGAGAACATGAAACACTGCTCCAGAAACATTGCTGTCTTCTCTAGAAAATTTGGACCCTCATCCTCTGGACTAAAGTACTTAGTCCTCTGTTCAAAAGCCTGCATCTCTGACAGTATAGAGCTGCATGGAATCTGCAGCTTGCTCAAGCAGAAAGGCATCATCACTGCTAAAACTTATAAACAGGTTTTAGAGCAATATATATATTATATATATTAAGTATTAAGTTTAAAGGCATATTATATATGCCTTTAAACTAAAGACAATGACCTTTTTTAGGGAAGGCCCTGCATATTTCAGTCAGATAATGCTAAACCAGATACTGCATCATAGTAGAATAGTTCAGGTGGTGAACTGGCCTGCTGGCAGTACAGACCTTTCACCAGTTGACACACAACAAAATGAAAAGAACTATTGAGTAGCTTGAATCCTCTATCAGGCAGGACTGGGACCACACTCCTCAGATCCCAGGTGTTTAGTGATTGTTGATAAAAGAAGAGAGGGTGCTACAGAGTGGTAAACATGGCCTCATCCCAACTTTTTGGAGACATTTTGCTCCCATCAAATTCATTTTCAACATTTGATATGTTTTTTTTTAATGTTCTACGATGACCAAAATACTGCTTCATGAGATTCGCAAATCATTTTACTCTGTTTGTATTTATATGTCACACAGCATCATAGCTTTATTAGAATTCGGTTTGTACAAGCACTGACATTCTGCACAAAATATCCATCATAAATGTTGTGGTTACCTATTTGTACTACAGCATGGCACGGACCCTGTGTCTCTTCCCTGCTGTAAATTGTATTATTTTTTTTAAGATTAAGATTAAGACAAATGTGTTTGTACATGTGAAATTCTCTTGTTCAGCTTCAGAGGTCCAGTTTCATGGAGCCAGGAGAAGTACCATGGGACACTGGAGAGGGAGCAGAAGAGGCTGTTCATGGATTTATGCCTGAAAGCAGCACTTCATGATGGACCAAACTTCTACAATGTAGTGAAGACGCTCCTCCCATTGTTTCCTGTTAAAACGGACTTAGACAACATCTTTCTTGATTTGTTTCAATATGTGAATAGCAAAGAGTTTTTAGGTGACTTTCAGGGTTTGAGGCCATTTTTCCAGTCAGCTCCTGCAGTCTGGTCCATAAACCTCTCAGAGAGAAAGACCTCCATCCTCCTGGAAGTGCTGAAACTCCAACCAGAGAAGAAACAAGTGGAGCTGACAGGCTGCTCACATGAAGAGAGTGAAGTAAGGAGTTTCCTGCAGTGTCTGCCTTATATCTCACAGCTCAGGTAAATATGTTGGATATCTATTTAAGTTAGCAGCTGCTCAATCTAATTATTGTATGCCTACAAAAATATTATGTATTATATTTAGAATCTGTATGATTTCAGATTCATTTCTCGGTTATCAGACCCTTCAGAGGAAATCAGATTCTTGGGAAATCTGATCTGTGCAGCAGCAGAAAGAGATCAGCAGGCAGGAGAGAAAATACTGGAGCTGTTATCATCAGTGTGCAGATACAAAGGATTCCCTCTTAAAGACATATGGTGTGATTTACTGCTTGATCTGTACTGTTATAAGAATAAAACAGGCTTGAGTGTCCTTCCATCATTACAGTCAGTTTTCCAGTCAGCTCCTGCAGTCTGGTCCATAAACCTCTCAGAGAGAAAGACCTCCATCCTCCTGGAAGTGCTGAAACTCCAACCAGAGAAGAAACAAGGAGAGCTGACAGGCTGCTCACATGAAGAGAGTGAAATGAGGAGTTTCCTGCAGTGTCTGCCTTATATCACAGAACTCAGGTAAATTGTCAGCATTTTTTTTATTTGTGTTTCTCTTTGGTGTTTTCTTCCTTATGCAGATTTAAATATTCCAAGAACATTAACATCATTTAAAGAAGCTATCAGATTGTCATTGAAAACATATATATATTGCCTTAATTTCAGTTTCAAGCCTCAGGCTTCACAACCTTCAGAAGAAACCAGGTTCTTTGTGAATCTGTTCTGTGCAGCAGCAGAGAGAGAACAGCAGACAGGAGAGAAGATACTGGAGCTGTTATCATCAATGTGCAGCTATCAAACATTCACTCTTAAACAGAAGTGGTGTGATCTTCTACTTGACCTCTACCCCAGTGTGCTTGAAATGGGCTTGAGTGTCCTTCCACCCTTGTGGTCAGTTTTCAAATCAACTCCTGCAGTCTGGTCCATAAACCTCTCAGAGAGAAAGACCTCCATCCTCCTGGAAGTGCTGAAACTCCAACCAGAGAAGAAACAGCTGAATCTCACAGGCTGGTCACATGAGGAAAATGAAGGGAGGACTTTCCTTCAGTGTCTGCCGTATATCTCACAGCTCAGGTAAAGTATTAGCTTTTATGCTTTTATGTTTTCATAAGAGTCTCTTTGATGTACTTCAGCATTTCGGTTAACAGAACAAGGTACGAAATGTCATACTAGAAGCATTAAATATTTCAACTCACTTTCATACTACAGTTTTCATGAAATGTGCTGATATTCTTGATTTCAGTTTTAGTACTACATCATCAGAATCATCAGAAGCAGTCAGGTTCTTTGGGGATCTGTTCTGTGCAGCAGCAGAGCGAGAACAGCAGACAGGAGAGAAGAAACTGGAGCTGTTATCATCAGTGTGCACATATAAAAATCTCCCTCTGCAGGAGATATGGTGTGATTTCCTAATGGACCTGTACTATTATACAATGAAAACAGGCTTGAGTGTCCTTCCATCATTACAGTCAGTTTTCCAGTCAGCTCCTGCAGTCTGGTTCATAAACCTCTCAGAGAGAAAGACCTCCATCCTCCTGGAAGTGCTGAAA